TGAGCAGGGAGAGGAGAAGCTGCAGAAGAGACTGAGGAAGGAAGCAGGATGGAGCCAGGAGACCTGGAGGAGGCGCATGGAGCCTAGAGACACGTGAAGAAACTGCGCTTGTCTATTGGTCGTGGACTAGGTGACCCAGATGTGGGTGAGACCTGTGGGGAGGTGACAACGGCAGCTTTTATCTTGATGTTGATTTTGCTCTTTTCCTTCCGGGCTTGTCTGGTTGTTTCTGGCCCTTTTCTGTGGGTCCCCACTGGAAGATGCTTTAGACTTGTGGCAGGCTTTGGGGCCTTGCTCTGGGCCATTCCCATATGGATGGACTTTTACCCACGAGGGGACGGGTAAATTTGGGTGCTTCATTTAGAAACTAGACTCTTTGCCTTTCCTGTATTGTTTCCTAGTTTTATTAAAGTTCCTTCCCATTAAAGTCTCATATGTTTTGTGTTGATGCGGCGGATGGCAGAACCCATTTAGAATAGGCAGGTTTGTGGGGTTTGGGCTGCCCCTCTCCCTGTCCTATAACACTCCCCTCAGCAGTGTATTTCAATAGATCTGCCTGTTCTGCTCTCCACTCTCTCTGGTGAATCCTCTCACCCCACCCCTCACCACTGGCTTACACCCCAGTTCTTGTTTGCATAAATAAATAAATCTTAAAAAAGAAAAAAAAGGAAATGACAAATGACAAATCCAGTCATGTTCATTTTTTGTAAGTCTTGGTTCAAGGGTCACCATCTCTTTTTAATAACCTCACTCAAGGTGCAATTCAGACAAAACTTGGATTAATAAAACCATGTTGTCCTACAATTGTCTGCTACCTCACTAGATAGACGCTCCTTGGGAGTCGGCATCCCTTTGCCTTTGAGTGCATGGTTCTTGACACAAGGTCAGCAGTGTGGAATAAATAAACTGAGCGCTTGCTAGATCACCTAGGTAAACCCACTGGTCACACTTTTTTTTTTTAAGTGCTTATAAGAACAAACCAAAACACTAGAGGAGTAAACTGGAATACTTCCAGGGAAAGTTTTTCTTGGTTATAGAATCAAGAAATCTGTTACAATTTCAAGAGGAAAAATCCCAACATTTGGATACTACTATTTAGCTGATTTGTTCATAACTCTAATATCAAAGACCCAAATTTTAGAAACTTACTTATGGAAATCAAACTTCTTAATGAGCACTCATCATCGGCAAGACAGGGAGAAGGTTCAATGACTGCCAGTTGTAGGTTCATTAATGTCTGAAACATCGGGGGAAGGGAGCTGATTATGGTACCCAGAAAGCAAGATAATAGTCTAGAGTGTTTCACAATCTTACTTCCAACAAACCTGCTTTCGAGAACTCAGGTGATCAAATGATGAATCACCAGGGAACACCTACGGCTACTGTTCACAAGGCCCTGGGAGCAACCTTTACCTCCCTTCACTCTCAGAGGGCTGCTTATCCTTCCCCACTGCACTGCTCAGAGCCACTTCTTCCACATCCAGCCATTTCACCAATTTCTTCCAGTCACTCTTGCCTGAGGTCAGAAAATCAATTAGCAGAATCACACAAAGGATAACTGGGAGGGAAAGAGGTAAAATAATGAGGAAAAATGGTAGCAAAGAAAATAAATTGCATCCTAACTCCTAACCACCCATCACCTCCAATGTCTCAGTTTTTCTCACAGCAAGCCCAACGCAGTTTCCTCATTCTTCTTTAGTCACCTCACCCTTTCCACAAACTCTGAAGCCTCAGAACCACTGGTGATTAGCTACTCTGATGTCCCAGTACTCAATCCCACTCTGGCCAATCCTCTTGCCTCCAACCAAAGATACAAAGAGAGAGAATGCACCTGGTAAGGGAAAACAGGAGGCCAATTAAGTTCTGGCCAGTATCAGTTGGAGGGTAAACTGGGACCTGACCACCACTTCCACAACTGTTTCTTTAGGAAACACACTCTGAGCTCCAAATTGCCATGAACCTTTAGGACACAACCCTATTTGGAATTGGAGACAATTTGCAATTATTTCCTGAGAACATGTTGTTATGAGTTTGTAAATGTTAAATTGTTAGATTTATGAAACATCTCTACTGTAAAGAAGGTGACCATGTGGGTTACCCCCAAACTTGCCAAATGTCTGTTTACTAATCTAGAATCTGGTTTGTAATATGTATAGACTGCACAATTAGTGAGTCTCTGTGAATCAGTCCCCAAGGTAAGTGCAGACTCTCTTCTCTGAGGCTTTAGAGACTGCTAAAGACACTATTTTGATTCACTACTACAGCAGAAGAATCTTCTTTTTTTCTTTTTTTTATAATAAATTTTATTTTTATATTTCCCATACAATTGCAACCCCCTTATTTTGACCCCAATCCCTCCCCTCCAGCCCCCCACTCCTCATAGAGTATCTCTGGTTCATAGTTTTTTGCTGATTTTGATTTTTACTATCTTATAGTTATTCATTTTCCTGGTCCCTTATTTAAGTTTTCTAGATTCCTACAGCAAAAGAATCTTAAACAAGGTTCATTTGTGTTTTTTTCTTATCATGTTACAACCCTAAGGTGTTAGATTTTGAATTAGTTACTCTGGGGCACAAGGCTATATTTTCAATAGCCAGATACCAAACAAGATTTCAACTTAGATCCTCTCAGCTCACCTGAAATGTAGGTCTCACTTCTCATTTACCTTATTTTAGGATGTCTGGGTGTCCTCCTGACCAAAGCCTAGATTTTACTTTCTGTCTAACTCAGTGTTGTTTATAAAAGGAATAACCTCCCAAGTTATAGTTAGTATGAGGCTAGGTCTGAAGGGTTTTGATTCAACTGGCACATTTTAGGAGTCTCAAGCCTGTTCAGGGCTTTCTGGCTCCAGGCCTAAACAAAAATCTCTGTGGAAAGCTAAATTCAAAATCAAAGCTCAGCCATTCTTCACCAGGCTGCCCTAGTTGACATCCTGCAACCTGTCCAAAGCTGCCCCCGGTTTCCTGTGGCCTACAGAAAGAACCCTCCTTATGAATGCCATCCAGCCCAGCCGCACTGGCTGGCTATGTACATTAACCCCTTCCTTCCTGGTTACCCTCACCTGAGCAGAAGTGCCCTAGTAAGAAATATACTAGATACAGGACACTTTCCAGAAACTTAGAGCTTATATTAGAGATAATGACAAACTCTCATTTTAGCCTGAAATCTAATAGGGCCAAATTCCCAATTTTAAGAAAAAAATTTTCACCCTGGCTAAGGATTATAGCATATCATGAATAAGACAAATTTATCCCTTCTTTCTCAGTCTCTGCCTGTCTCTCCTCCTTCCTTCCTTCCTTCCTTCTCTCTCTCTCCCTTTCTCTTTTCTTTCTTTCTCTCTCTCTCTCTCTCTCTTTTCTTCCTTTCTTTTGTTCTTTCTCTTTCTTTCTCACTCTCGCTCTCTCTCTTTCACATACACACACACACAGAGATGCATGGAACAAAAAAGCATATTAAAAGGACAGTACCGGGCCTCCCCGGTGGCACAGTGGTTGAGCGCTGAGCTGCGAATCTGCCCGCAGCCTCTGCAACGCCAGTTCGATCCCTGGCCACTGGCGAGAGTCCCACATGGCGTGCAGACCCCTCCTGCCGCCCGCTGCTCCCCTCAGCAGTGTACTTCGTCAGTCTGCCTGTTCTGCTCCCCGCTCTGGCTCTGCTGATTTCTCTCACCCTCCCACGCTTCTGACTGTACCCAGTGCTTGTATAAATAAGTAAATAAATCTTCTTTTAAAAAAAAAAAAAAAAGGACAGTACCTACCAACAAAATTGTTCCATGGAGAGAAAGAAGCACAGGTATAAAAAGAGGTAATTGTTTAAAGTTGAATTTTATTTTCAATTTTTGAATAAATTTTATTTATTCAACTCACCTAATAATCCCTTTGTTGGAGCCTCTACTATATGCCATCTATGTTAGTATTTCTACAAAAGACCCATTTTCAGACCTGAGTACTCAAAGTTTTTAGTTAATGACCTAAGAAAAACGAAGATTTAAAAAGGGCCTATGTGGTTTGTGTTATGCACAAAACGAACACTTAAAATACAACGCAATTCTCCCATTGTGACTAGAGAAAGAAAGAAGCAGCCAAGGCGGTTGCTTCCTTTGCCTCTTTTCCATTCATTCTCTCATATACCCAAATAATAGCTACTGATTCCCAAATAAGTCCTTTGTATGGCCAGAAGCAGGAGAAAAAGACACATTAGAACTGTTCATGAACTTTAAAAGTGAATATAGAACATCAGACATACCAACAAACAATTGTACTATAAGACAGATTAAGATAATGGCTATAAGGATACCACAGCTGAATTGGGAGGAGAGAATAGGAAATAAATACTTCCATACAAGACAATGTAGAAGCTTAATGAAGCCGAAAATTGCTGAGCTGGACTATCAAGGATGGACAAGGTTTCAATAAGACAAATGGAGTAGATATACCATGGGTAGGAAATACATATACAAAAGTGAGAAAGAGGAATAGTTACGTGTTTTTCTGAATTTTCTCCTATATCAATCTGAACTCAGAAATTAGTCCTCAACAATAATTGCTCCTCAAAGAGTAGTAACTTTGGCAAATTTAGAAATTTCATCTAACAAGAGCACCACAGATAAATGCAAATAATTCAATAACTTTAGCCATTTCTTACACCTTGCAAATAAACCTTATTAAATTGGTAATTTCCTCCCATAGGTTCCTGCTATGACTTCCAAATTGGTGCCTATGAATTCCTGAGACCTTTCTGTTCCATTCAGCTCTTCTTATACTGATTCAACTACTAAAATAAGTGAACAACTTCAAGTTTACATTCCAAAGACCCATTTGGCTATATGATTAAAAAGAGATGGCACTTTGGAATAAATATATTAAGTAATTTAATATATTTAATTAAACCACTCCCTTACCAAGTGATTATTCTCCCTGCATACCCATCTCACAGGGTTGCTGAGTTAGTATCAGTGATGCATGTAAAAGTGCAATGTCTGTTTGGTATCTATGCATTACCTGGAATGCTGATGTCTGGGTCCAAGTCGCAGCTGGCCATCTGGAGCTTCATATGGCTCTTCTATCTCGTACACATTTGCATCAGTGTCCTCAATGCTGCTGGAATTCTGCCATTCCAACTCTGGAGTTTTGTCTACAGCCATAATAAAAGGTAAGTTTTCATACTCCGGTATTTCTTCATAATGACGAATATTTTCATACTCAGGAGCACAGTAGCTTATAACAGATTTGTAAGGCACTTGAGATGATGACTCCCTGGAGAGCATCTGGTCATCCAAAGACTCAGCTCTTGCTCCATTACCTGTGCTGGTCTGGCCCCAAGATTTCTTCTTCTTTAGGAATTCCAGGCTGTGACTATCTGCAGAATATGCTTTGGTGGGCTTACTTCTCTTTTCTTCTCCTACCAACAAGCCATGCCAATCACTTTTAACCCCTTTTTGCTCACCACCCAATAGATTGCCTGTAGTTGTACCCCCAAGTTGGCTACTCTTGGACCAAAATTTCTGGAAGTCACTCTTCATGAAACAGATGGATAGTTTCATGTTGAGCAACTTCTTAAAAGAGTTTTTCTTTTGAGAGTCTTTGCAAGGCTTGGTACACCTTTCCACATCCACAGCAGATAATGATTTTGCTCTAGGCTTGGTCAGGGTACTTGAAGGCTCACTATTTGAGGATATGGTGATAGACTTTAAGGATTCTGGGTTCCCTGAAAAGGGTAAAATAGGATGAGGTAATTTCCACACTGGCTTTTCTAAAGCCCCTTTAGGCATATCAGATGAAGATGACATACCATGACTTTGGGCATACAAATGCTGAAATTGATTTCTTTCCAGACCCTTTTCTGATTTTTTCCCTTCATTTAAGGGATAAGAACTTTTCTCCACAAGCTCTTCGGAAGCGGCCTTTTTAAGCACCCCTGCAGCAGGCAAGCTTTGTCTTTGAGGTTTTTTGGGAACAATTCTCAAGGAACTTTCATCTTTTATTATAGATTCCTTTTGCATTTGAGGGGTAAATACTTCCAGATTGCAGGCAGTAGGTAAATGTTCTCTGCAACTTAATTTGAGCTGCTTGGGAAGGCTCATAGATAAAGTACTGCATCTTATAAAATTAGTGCCTTTATCCACAGCAAGTGACATACTAGAACCATCTACTGCCTTGCTGCCAGAACTAAAATTAGAGTCTGTGTTTAAAGGAGGTGCCATTTTTTCAAAGGAAGAGCTTTCATCACACAGGGCTTTCTGTGAATGGCCTAGGTTTTGACTGTCACTGTTGGAGTTCACATTCAATTCACTTTTATCTCCTGGTTTCATTTTGTCTACCTGTTCCTGGTTACATAAAACATTCTGATGAAGAACACTGATTTTGTTGTTTCTCAAAGCATCTTTGAAAAGATATGAAGAGCTACTATTTAAGTTCTCTGATTCTTCAGCACTTTCACTAGGAGTATCTATAAACTTTTGGCGTAATAGGCGAGCAGCACGTGTTTTTCTAGGCTTGGGAGTTGGAAATTTGGGGGTATATGGTACCAAATGAATTTCTAAGGGACCAAGGTCTTTGATTTCTGATTTCTTACTAACTCCATCTGAAGAAACAGAAGTACTCCTTTTACCATTTTCCAGAGCTTGTTCAGATGAGTGAAAGTAAAAATTGCCTTTTTCACTGCCATTCTGACAAGTTTCCAAATTTTGAAATTCATCACTAGGAATTTGTAGGTGGCAATGTGGATGATCAGGAACATTTGCAAAGCTGGACAGGGAAGGTGAAAAATCTGCATTTTCATTTCTGAATTGTCTGTTGGAATTACAGTCATCATTCATTTCTGGGTTGTCTGTACATCTGTGCTTCTGTGGGAAAATAAAGGGTGACGATCTTTGTGTTAAAACATCTTTAAGCTTCTCCTCTAGGACACTTGCCTTTGAAATTACTCCACTCTGGCTCCTGACCTTTTCACCATTACAGTGACATTTTCTCTTATTTTTAATAGCTAATGAGAATTCATCAATTTTACTGTTTTCTAAATTTTCATGCATTCCCAGGGGCTCTAAGACAAGCCGCTTTACACACACATTCTCTCTATTTCCAAGTTTATGGATACACTCTGAGCTGCAGGAACACATGGGTAAAATATAATCACTGCTCTGATGCCCTGCATTTTTGCAATTAGAGTTGTCAGGTCTTTCAAGTACTTCCTGTTTATGTTCTTCCAGGTTTGAGAGGATTTTCCTTGATGGTGACTGCCTGATGTCCCGAACAGGTGAGCCCTTCAGAACTTTTGGTTTTGGAGCTATTGCTGGTTTGGCCTTCTTAGTTGACTGTGAAACACTAGAAACCACAACATCAGGTTTAGGTGCAACAGGAGGTGGGGTTGGTTTATTATTTGCCACCACAAACTTTGGCTTGGGGGCCACTGGTGGCTTTTTATTCTCTAGAAAGGAAAAAAAAAAAAAAGATAGTTTGATTGATGACAAAAAAAAGCAAGAGATAATAAATGATTAAATTTAATTCCATTTTTACTTTTGACAATATGGTGAACTTGTATTTTACTAGTTGGATTATATGTTACATTTTATAGTCAATATATTACTCTTGAAGATTTCTTAAAGTGCCCTTCAATACCAGTATAAATAGCTTTGGGCATATTGTATAATTCTTAGTGAGTTCAACACAGTTTTTCTTCTAACTTTCACACAGATTACCACATCTTAGCTGACACCAAATGAGATAATTGGCTTCTGCTTGCCACCTGTATATATGGAGGAAAATGCACTTCAATGTATTTCCTGAGTGCTGAGTTGAATTTGCCAAAATTACATGTAGATGCAACCCTTTAAGCTTATTAATAATATTCTTCTACCTCATTGATATAGAGTTGTATAAATGCCTTTTATCAAATCTATCTCCCTAGAATCCCAAAATAATCTTTAAAAAGGAATACAGAAATCAGAAATTCTCTAACCTTAAACAGAAAAGTAAACTTAAAAAAACCTGAAAAGTAATTCTTCTGTGTTGTTTGAGGATCATAATAAACTTGGTATGTCTCTGTGCATGGATTATCAATTGGGAATTTTTATTGTAATCCCTCATGGAGTTTCATTTTTTAAAAAGCTACATGTCCAGGCTCTACCCCAGATCTATTCAGTCTCGGGGAAAAAGCCTAGGTATCCGCATTTCTTTTAAGACCCACTAATGATTTTGTTGTATGCCCTTTATTAATACCCACTGTTGTAGTGCATTTAAAAAATAATACATGATTTGTAATGCAGCAATTCTTCCTATTCATTTTATTAAAAGTACATATTATATTATGCTAAATTTGTGTAGACATGCTCCTGGTCTATAGGAACCAAATAAAATCTTGACTCAAAATATCTTTAAAAATGTAAAGATACATGGAGCCAGAACATATGTATTTTCTAAAGTTCTTTTCAATTTTTTCCTTCACTTATTATATTTCCCCAAGGACAGGTGAATAAAAAATCTGTTAATAACTTGTTATATGATAGTAAAGTAATGTTCATATAAAGGAATTATGTTCTGGATGGCTTGATAAAGGTAAATTATAAGGTGAAATCCATTATTTTCTTGTTTTTTATTCTAACCTTGGAGATTTGTTTTTCTGGAAGAAATGATCATCTCTTGCTATTATAAAATTGATTCAGAAATTGTCTTAAATATAATTTTTTCTGATAGAACTACTAATAAAAATATTTACCATAAAAAAAATATTTTATTTTATATTTTTATACAAATGTTAATTTGCTCAACAACATCTAATACTTAACAAAAACTTAATTTGCTCAAAAAATAAATATAAACCTTTTAAAATATCTGTTGGACATTGTTTGAATATTTGAATATACAGAGGTTTTGATACTTCATTTGGTGATGATTTTCTTTTCAGCAAAGGAAATTAGTCACAACCTTGGAAAGATATTATATGGAATTGAGTTTAAAAAAATGTAGAGAGCTCTACTTCCCTTTACCAAGCAGGGAAGAATTTCCCCAACCTCTAATACTATGTGTTCGACCAAGATCAACTAACAGAGACCTTCTCATTCAATTCCTCAGTACAATGTTATCATAAATGAAGATAACAAAATATTTTCAAAACAATAAATTCCCAAAGCTATACAATTTTAGTTAGCTATTCAGTAAGCATACTATAAGTTGCGTTCATTTTTTAAAGGTAGAAAAATGATAAAATCCTTCAAAACCTAATGATAAAGCTTGGTATAATGGTCTATTAAACTCTTAAGTATTAAGTCAAATCCTGAGAGAAAGTATGAATGCCCCAGGCCTCTTCCAACCTCCCTTGTTACTCAAAAATAATGAAAACTGACAGTCATGTTGATTTCATTTCTATAACCATTCTTAAAACATCCTACCTCTGAGATTTTTGAATGAATAAAAAAGTCAATTTGGCAAGATGAAAGAGTTCCAGAAATTGACTGCACTAAAATGTGTATATACTTAACATTACTGACTGAGCACTTAAAAATGATGGTAAAGGGCCTCCCCGGTGGTGCAGCGGTTGAGCGCTGAGTTGCGAAGCTGCCCTCAGCCTCTGCAGCGCCGGTTTGATCCCCGGCTGCTCCCCGGCCACCGGAGGAGGGTCCCACATGGCGCGCAGACCTCTCCTGACACCCACTGCTCCCCTCAGCAGTGTACTTCGGTCCTTCTGCCTGCTCTGCTCCCCGCTCTGGCTCTGGTGAATTCTCTCACCCTCCCGCGCTTCTGACTGTACCCAGTGCTTGTATAAATAGATAGATAGATAGATAGATAGATAGATAGATAGATAGATAGATAGATAGATAGATAGATAAATAAATAAATCTTTTTTAAAAAATGATGGTAAAGATGTTAAATTTTATGGTGTATTTTACCACAACTAAAAAAAAAAAAAAAACTGTCTCATCAAATTAATATTTTTCTTTCTAAATATGATGGCTTTGGAAGCTTCAGGGTAATTTACCAATTAATTTTTGCTTTTTAGTTAAACTGATTTTTAATTTATGACACCATTTCTACTCTTTAAATGTATTTTGTACATAAGTCTTCTATGTAGATGGGCCATCACAGAGTCCTTATTTGTAAATGAGACGTTGAACAGATTGCTAAGATCTATATGATCCTGAGATTATAACTTCTGAGACACTTCCTGCAGGAAAGCACATATATTCTTTAGCCCCTTTGCTCTGTGTCATTTTTCTTCAGTTCACCTTTGTCTGTCCTTATTAATTGAAGGTGTAAGCTCCAAGAGGGTAAGTATGTTGTCTCATTCTGTATCCTCAATGCTGAAAATAGGACCTGCGAATAGTCAGAACTGCCACATACACATTCTCTTTAACATGTCTTAGTAACAGGAAATTTCTTTTAAAAACCATCAAAATCCATTTTAAAATATAGTAATATGTTGATAAGTTAGCAGGAATCAACTTCAATAGGATAACCAAGTAAGTCCTTCATTATTACTGGGAACAACATTCCTAATCACTAGTACAGCAATATCTGAAATTCTTCATTTTTATTTTTTTTTGGGAGGGGGCTCTATTTTGAAAGAAACCCACTGAAAAACTAACAAGTTATTATATTATGGCCTGCTCCAATATCAAACTCTTGAAATAAGTGCATGGTGTTTGGAAATGAATCCAGCGCCTTTGGATCTTAATACTGTATCAACAGTGAGATCCAGTGCTTTTTAGAGTAAAGCAGCAAATCTCTTATTTATACAGCTGTTTGGCTCCAGGAAAAAATAAGGTAAGAAAGTAAAGCACCAGTACCATTTTACTATTACAAACATACTCCTCATCTGTTACACACAGATGTCTGCGGTTCATGTGCAAAGACTTTCTTAGATGTAACAATGGCTATTGAACTAGTCAAAAAGCAAATGTGTTCAAAATGACACAAAATATGTTTAAAAAGATACATGTACAAGTTCAAAAAGATACAGAATATACATGTATAATTATCTCTCCTTTTTAAATACTGATCAGAACAATTCTAAAAATCTCTATTATGGGCCTAATCTTTAATACACAGAAAAACAAAAATCCTTTTCAGTATACATAGAACTTACATGATCTATATATACCTGCTCTCTTATTTTCTTAAATTAACCCTACCATCCCAAATACCACAGACTACATTCAAAGTAAACAAACCCCCCCTCCCTCCAATTGCAAATAACTTTTCTAAAGTTTTATCAAATTTTATTATTGTTGCAAAAGGAATCATGAGGAGCCTCCCCCTGGTGGCCCAGCGGTTGAGTGCTGGGTTGCAAAGCTGCCCGCAGCCTCTGCAGCATCGGTTCGATCCCCGGCCACTGCAGGAGGGTCCCACATGGCGCAGACCTCTCCTGCTGCCCGCTGCTCCCCTCAGCAGTGTACTTCGTCAGTCTGCCTGTTCTGCTCCCTGCTCTGGCTCTGGTGAATTCTCTCACCCTCCCTCACTTCTGACTGTACCCAGTGCTTGTATAAATAAATAAATCTTTAAAAAAAAAAAAAAGGCATCAGTATGTGAGAATGATGAACACATACTTTTATAAGAATGGGATGGAAATAAAGCCCAAGTTCTCCATTCAGACACATGAGGGAATTATAATAAAACTCAACAGATGGGTGAACAAAGTAGTTAATGCTTCTCAGCAAGCTATGCTAAAAACCAACTAACTCAGCTAAACACAGGAAGTGTCCCTCTTTTAAACACCACAAAAATGTCTGCGGATTTCTTTAATTGCAAAGTTGATAAAATGTAAAAATAGCTGCATTATTCCAGGGTAATTCAAACGAAAGAATCAAGCAGTTCTAGACGGAATCTTAAATCATGTTTACATAATTAAATGCTAAATGCTTCCCTAGCTATTTATTGTAAAAGTTGAAAACTGGAATTGAAAACTGATATACATAAAGCATGAATATTTTAAATGTGGTTGACACTCCAACAGAGGGAGAAAGTGGTTGCTAGAATTTGAAAAATTCCAACCACTTTAAATTTAAATCAGATTGGGTCACTAACAAAGAAAACTTGAGCAAAGGTGAGGTAGAGACATCAACTATGAAAATAATTCACCTCAAGTAGGTAGAAAGCCTTCTATATATACATATGACATAAAAAAGGAATAATCCACATTTTCAGAAATACTACTACAGTAATATTTCACCCCTTGCTTTTCTAATTCCTATTGGGCAACTTCTTGCCTCGTTAGTCATTTAGTCGTAAATCTGATTACACCTAGTAATACAACACCCCAATATATCTAAGCTTTAGAAATGATACAAATTAGAACATTTGGAGTGCTGTTTGGCAATTTCAAGTTGACAGTTTCAAGTTGCAGGAATTTAAAACAAATGCCAAGAAAAGCAAAGAAATTTTAATCTGCCACTTGAAAACGCTGATTCTAGAAGTAACCAAGAGGAACATTTATACTATTTTACCATTAAGTTTCTAATGAAAGTTCGTCTTTGAAAGTGGACAAAACCGTTAAAAAAGATCCAAAAACCGAATACATTATTAAGCTCTGCTTTAAAGAGTACCTTATGTTCTCATAAAGCAAATTTAACACCACCTTAGCAATTATTTTGGAAAATAAGAACTGTTTTTCGTTTAGAAATACAATGTCCAGAATTGCTCCAAACCCACACCCAGGTAAAGACAGGCTTTGTCATTTGGTGGAAGAGAAAGGTCTCTGGGAGGCGGACAGAAAACAAGCCTTTGTTTCCACTAAGCAGGTAGAAATAGAAAAAAAAAAAAAAAAAAACTCCATTTAAAAAAAAAAAAAAACCTGGGTGAGTGTGAGCAGAGAATCTGCTATGGGCAAATCTCCCCCTCTACTTCCAGGTACAGGGAAAACCCTCCAAGACAGGAGCCCCAATATCTCAGTCTCCTTATCTGGCCAGGGGCAGGGTGGAAGCAACTCAGCTCCAGGAGTTCAAGTCCAACTCCGGGAACACGGCCGTTCCGGCATAACAACCTGGGCATCTCCACTAACTCCCCATGTAAAGGCAAAGGTGCTCAGATTTTAGGAGAAAGCCCTCAAAGACCTGTTCGGGGCTCGCGTTCCACCTGGCGCAGGAGCCCCCCAACACGGGGCTCCCCCTAAAGGGAGGTCCCCCAAGAGAAGGGAACCCCCAACTGCCCCTCTGGGTTTGAAGGGAAGCAACCCGGCCGGCGTCCCGGGGCAGGCAGGGGGAGCCCCACGCCCCGCCCCGAGGAGAAAGTCGCTCGCGAGCCCCGGGACGCGCTGCGCTCCCCACAAACTTCCCAGCGGCGGGGCGCGCGCCGCCACTCACCGGCGGCAGAAGTCATGGTTCTCCCCGCGGCTCGCTCCCCTCACTCCATGTTCCCTTTCAGTCCATTGTTTCCAGAGTTTGGGCAGAGGAGAGCCGCGGCCCTGGCCACATTCCGTCTCGCTGCCCCGCGGCGCTGCCTGAGCGCGGCACAAAGGATGCGGCGGGCTCCAGGGACCCGGCGGCGCTCGCGGGCGCGAGCCGCAGACAGCGGGCGGCCGGGCGGGCACGCGCGCCGCTCGCGGAACTCCGGGCGGACGGCCCAGCGCGCGCACGAGCCGCGCTCCCGCGCCCCCGCCGGCGCGCGCCCTGGCGAGCTGCAAAAAAAAAAAAAAAAAAAAAAAAAAAAAATCAACAAACCGTGCTTCAGGCGCCCCCTGCTAGCCGCAGCCGTAAAAGGCGGACAACCCCATCCAATCAGAGGTCTCGAAATTTATCCTTTGCCCGCCCCTCCCGCCTACACGCTAATCCCCTGCTCCAATAAACGTCTCAGAGGAGGGGGCGTGTCCTGCGAGGCATGCTGGGAGTTGTAGTTTTCTGCACACCCGGGGCTGGGCAGAAGCGGACGGGTCGGTGCTGCGTGTTCTCCCGCCTTCATTTCCCATCGTGCTGAGGCGGGTGGCATGGCGGAGAAGGATGACACCCGAGTTTGACGAAGAGGTGGTTTTTGAGGTAAGGGGAAGATGGCGGTGGGTGTGGACTGCCTTTGTTTGAGAAGGCCTAAGGGAAAGGCGAAGAGGCTCAGGCGAGGGGCCGATCGCAGGGCGAGGAAGCGAGGGGCGCCTCGGGGTCGGCGGCGAACCCCGGGGGTTTCTGGGCCTAGTTGGCCGCAGCCTGACAGGTGTGTCTCGGGGCGACCTGGCTGCACCCGCTTCCGCCTCAGGCCCGCCCGGGACTCCGGTCCGCGCGCGGCTGCCAGGCCTCGGGGCCGGCGCGAGCCCTGCGTGTTTCCCCCGGGGATGGGGGTCCCCGGGCGGGAGGACCAGGGCTGCGCTGGCTGGGGCGGGGCCGGGTCACGCATTTTGGAGACTCCCCAATAAAACTTAACCGCCCCCTTTTTAGTCCTCGGGTCTTTGCAGAAGTCTGTATCCAGAAGTGCCTCAGGTCGCTGTTCACGGTCGAGGCGTGGCGCCCGGGGGAAGGTTGCAGGTGCCAGTTTTCTGACACGGTTTAAGATCTCAGTGCGGGACCTGCCGTTGGTTATTAGACCCGGGGTGGCTCAGCATCCAGGTTTAATTCTTTTGTCCTTTGCGTGTTTTGCGCTCGATGGAGTCCATAGGATGTGAGACTCCGGGTGTGAGTGCTTTGTGTGGGACTATTTTAAGACGTTCTCTGCCATCTTGAATGAAAAAAAAAAATCAAGGCTGGTGTTTTTGTTGCCGTTTAGCTTCTCAGATACAGGTTAAAATTCATGCCCCAGGTATGCTTTATGTTCAGTTATGCAGCTAGGTTTTAAGAAAACGCTTTTAAATGGTGCATTTCGTGCACTAGAGCTCAGCACAAAATAGGTGCAGAATGATAAATGTGTGCAAAGATATGGACAGCCTGTACGTTAGAGAATGCAATTGGATACATCCATCTTTTCTTGCGGCCTCCTAGGAGCTACACGCAGTAAATGATATTGGAGGTAAATCTTGAACTGTGAATTGATTAATAAGATCAGACATCACCGGGAAGGAGAACAGAACACGCCCAAGATTGGGAGGTGTCAAAGTACCTGGTGTGGATTTTTCAGGGACTTGAGTGGCTACATAGAGTGCTTTGATGTGGCTAGAATGTGGAAATAGTGGAAGATGGGGCCATTTTACCACAATGAAGTCTGGTTTGGAGAAGCTCACTAGGAATTACAAGAATCTTGAAAATGAGAGAAAAAAATAATGGAATAATGACTTGGGCAGATATCTCTAAGGTAAAATCCAGGAAACAGTTACAGATTGAATGTGAGAGTTGAAGAGGAGACAAAAATCTAGGCTGCTTAAATAAATGAATTAAATAAAATTATCTTAAAAAATCTTGTCTGCTTAAATTTCTAGGGAATCTTAGATTTCTTTAGATTGTGGATAAATAGTAATGCATGTTCAAAGAACATTTCATTGTAGAAAATCAGTCACAAATTTAAAGTCATTCATAATCCTACCACTTCAAAATGGCCACGTTTAATATTATAGCATGTGTTCTTACAGGTTTTTTCCTATGCAAATTTATGTTTATGTGTGTGACTTCTTTTAACGCAAGAGATATACCTCATGGGCCTCCCGGTGGCGCAGAGGTTGAGCGCTGGGTTGCGAAGCTGCGCGCGGCCTCTGCGGCGCCGGTTCGATCCCCGGCTGCTCCCCGGCCACCAGAGGAGGGTCCCACATGGCGCGCAGACCTCTCCTGCCGCCCGCTGCTCCCTCAGCAGTGTACTTCGGTCCTTCTGCCTGCTCTGCTCCCGCTCTGGCTCTGGTGAATTCTCTCGCCCTCCCGCGCTTCTGACTGTACCCAGTGCATGTATAAACAAAACAAACAAACAAACCAGCAACAAATAAATAAAGCATGCCTCTATAAAAAAAAATAAAAAAAAAATAAAAAAAGAGATATACCTCATGGAATTTTGTATACATCTTCACTTCAATTTATCATAAACCTTTTCTATTTATTACTCCTTGAAAACATTATTCATAGCATAATATTTCATCATATGCATGTACCATAACCATTTTTCCATTATTGAATAAGTATATTGATTCAAAATACCATTATTATGAATTCAGACACAAGTCCATCTTTAGCTGCAACTCTGATTTTTCCATAGAATAATTTCTTGAAGGAAAACTGTGGATCAAAGAATATTAACCTTTTTTTAAAAGACTTATGCAGAAAGTTTATACCAATCATGTTTCCATTAGGAATTTTTTTTTTTTAAAGAAACAATAGTCCCAAAATAGAGTTTATGCCAAGCCTCACCAAGACTTCATACCTAACCTAATTGCAGTTTCAGCCACTTCCAAAAGTAGAATTTTAAAACAATCCATCTGGAGTTTTCTGGTCTGTACCAGTGAGATAATCTGCAAGATAAGACCCTACTGCTAAGGGAAGATGGCTTTGCCTGAAATAATCTTTTTTTTTATTTCACCCCCTTTTCTAACTATATAAACCTTCCAATTTGTATAGCTCTTTACATTGCCTTTCTGCTTGCTAGATGGGATGCTGTTCATTCCTGAGTGATTTAATAAAGACAATTAGATCTTTAAAATTAACTCTGTTGGGTTTTTGTTACTTAACAGGAATAAAAGTTAGTTTCACCAAATCTCAGCAAGTCTTATTAGTTTCCTTTAATCATTGTTAATTTGATAGAAAAAATTGTATTTTTGGTCGGATACTAGCTTTTAAAAAATTGATTTGTATGTTTTTATAACTTATACACTTCAATTCCATGTATATATTTTTTGTCCTTTTTTTTTTTGCTCTTTGCATTTATTTGTTAAATTTATCCTAATCATCATGTAAGAATTTTTTACTTCTCCATAGTATATCCATGTGATTTTGTGACATTTAAAGAACCCATTCTACTACTGACTGTCTTTGGGTAATTTTCATTTTGAGACTATACATGAATACTGTTACTGTGAATGTGAATGTTACTGTGAATGTTTTGTTGAACATGTTTCTGCTGCTTTATGGTTTTTCAACTTTATGATGGTGTGAAAGATGCATTTAATAGAAAGTGGGATACAATATGCACTCCTGCTGGTGCACAGTCCCAGTCAGCGTTTCTGGCTTAATGATATTTTGAGTTCACCATAGGTTATCAGGACATAGCCCCATCATAAATCGAGGAAGATCTGTACTAGATTTAAGTTCTTTGTTGGTTATATGTACCTCACGCGGCACACACTCTTTCAGTTATCAGAAGCTCTTTTACAGCTTTCTGATTTTGCCACAAATGAATTGCAGAAAATTTGAGTCATTCATCCTATTCTGAATCCTGCTCGCCTGGGAGGAATACCCCAAAATGAGAACTTTTTATCTGAAGGACTGCTACTTTTATCTCTTTGCATTATGTGTGCATCTAAACCCTTTTTTGTAACTTCTTTCTTAAAAGGATAACTTTTACACACTCATATCTGTCCTTGGTCACTTTATCTTTGTAATTCAACTCTGATATCTACTTGAATTCATTGCTTTTTCTTTTTTCAGGTCTGAAACCCTAAGCCCCCCTCCCTGCTTCATACTGATCTTTCTCCTTTCCGTACTTTTCAGAAAATTACTAAATGTTTTCTCTTTATTGGCAGTATGTTCAGGTTTAGCTTTTCACCCCAACACTAAAGCAATCAAATGCAAGGAGCCCACTCTCACACAACCTCCCACACTTAAAAAAAAAAAAAGTTAAAATGTCTCTTGCTTGAGATTGTCCTTTATACTTTTAAGTTTGTAATGTAGCTCTAAAGAACATTAAGGCAGTCTTTAGAAGTATCATTTGTAGTTTCTTCCCTACTTGCATTATTGATTTGACTAATGGAAGGAAATTGTTTTTGTCTGTGAATGTATACATTGATAGTTTTTGCTATTATGATAATGGAGCCTACTGTCTGGAAAAATACATATAAATTTAAGATATTATTATATCATCTTATTTTTCCTTAAAATCTATATACAGTTTCCTATAGTTCTTAAAACTTTGCAGATGTATTATGTAAAATAATCTACTTCTTTGTAGTAGCTGAGATTGGAAGCATAGTGAAATTCATGCTTTTATTAGTATCTGTAACAGAAGGAATATTAAGAGCTAATTGACATTATAAATTGACCATTAATACTAAAGCTAGTTTGTCATTAGATATGTAAGAATAAATTTGTTTAACCTGAATTATAACAGTTATTCTTGGGAAATAAGCCCTTGCTTTTTTTCTGTCTGGGTCTTGTGCTTTTTTTGTTTGTTTGTTTTATCTTTTTCACATGTCCTCAGGGCCCCAAATTAGATTTTAACACTTAAAAAAAAAAAAGTGTATATATAAACATTCTAAAAAGTGTATGTCTTATGTATTTTTATTGCATTTATTAAAGTGCAAGTTCCTTTGTCTCAAACTGTGATATACACACTAATTAAATTATTTTTTGTGGTTGTTATGATATCTTTTATAGTTGTATTGCAATCTTTTTTTTTTAACGCATTGTGGAAAAGGGACTAGACGTGGTAAAAAGACTCACATTAATTAGCAATGAGATCTTGAGTGAATTACTTAATTTCTGTAAAGTTTTGCTTCTTGTTTATTATATAAGGGAATTATACCAGATCATCCTTAAGCATTATAGTTTTCTTGACTCCGTTGGGTCGAGTAAATGAGAAAAAACCCTTAGAGGGTTTCATTAATTAGGGAATACAGTAGAGGAAGAGATTCTGCTTATTTCTAGTCTATTTTTAGCTCAGAAACCCTGGCTCAGTTTTAGTTTGCCTGTACCAGCTGTTCCCTGAGTTCCCAGAAGCGAATCATGCCTTACGGATTTAGGAGAAAAGGCCCAAAGCTCAATGTACTCCAAAGGAGCACAGTGTCAGGGGGTGTACTGATTTCATTACATCGGGATTTTTAGAATACTGCATATATGTCTACTGAGACTTGCTGTTGTTCCCAGGACAGGAGACCAACATACTTGTTAGTTATTTGAAATAATATACTTGCAGCTGTACATTT